GCATGGGGAGGAGACCGTGAAGCCAGAGGAGACACTGCGTGTGGAGGAGACGCCGCATGGGGAGGAGATTGTGAAGCCAGAGACACAGGGTGTGGAGGAGACACCACATGGGAAGGAGATTGTGAAGCCAGAGGAGACACTGTGTGTGGAGGAGACTCTGCATGGGGAGGAGACTGTGAAGCTAGAGGAGGCACTGTGTGTGAAGGAGACACAACATGGGGAGGAGATTGTGAAGCCAGAGACACAGGGTGTGGAGGAGGGGAAGCCAGAGGAGATGCAGTGTGTGGAAGAATCCATGAAGCTAGAAGAGACCATAAGCCCAGAGCAGACTGTTTATGGGGGAGAGACAGTCATGAGCATGGAGGAACGCACCCCTGAGAACCTCAGAACAGGGTCTAGCCCCAGCACTGAGGAGAGCCTGAGCATAGAGGACCTAGAATTGCTAGAGGGTCGTTTCCAGCAGTGTATCCAAGCTGTGGCCCAGCTGGAAGAGGAGCGGGATCACCTCGTCCATGAGCTGGTGTTGCTCCGGGAACCCGCCCTGCAGGAGGTGCAGCAAGTCCATCAGGACATCCTGGCTGCCTACAAACTACAGGCCCAAGCAGAGCTCGAGAGGGATGGGTTAAGGGAGGAGATCCGGCTGGTCAAGCAGAAGCTGTTCAAAGTGACAAAGGAGTGTGTGGCTTATCAATACCAGCTGGAGTGCCGCCAACAGGACGTGGCCCAGTTTGCCGATTTCCGGGAAGTGCTGACCACTCGAGCGGCCCAGCTGTCGGAGGAGCTGGCCCAGCTCAAGGAGACCTACCTGAAACAGAAAGAGCAATTACAGCAACAACTAGAGACACCTCCCAGCCAGAGCGATGGGCACTTTCTCCAGGAGAGCCGACGGCTCTCTACCCAGTTTGAGAACCTCGTGGCAGAGAGCCGTCAGGGCCTGGAAGATGAGTATGAGCCTCAGCTGCTGCGGCTCCTGGAGAGGAAGGAAGCTGCAACCAAAGCACTACAGAAAACCCAGGCTGAGATCCAGGAGATGAAAGAGGCTCTAAGGCCCCTGCAAGCAGAGGCCCAGCAGCTCCACTTGCAGAACAGAAACCTGGAGGACCAGATCACACTTGTGCGGCAAAAACGAGACGAGGAGGTGCAGCAGTACCGGGTAGGCCCACTGGGCGTGCGCGGAAGTGCGGGGTTTGGCCTGGGAAGGAAACGGTGACTGGTGTCAGACGCTTTGGGGTTGAGGATATGATGGGATGTAGGAAGAGTAAGGGATTCTTGGGGCCAGTCACTCACCATTCACTTCACTCTCATGCCCGTGCCAGGAGTCGATCATCTGCACTCTGTACATACAGCATGTTTACACCAGTTATCTTGTTTGATCTTCTCATTAGTTCCTCAAGTATTATCATTTTTTAATAGATGAGGCTATTGAAGCTGAGTTAGAGTAATGTGACCCCTTGTCTGACCAAACCCCAGTATTGCAGTGCTCTTTCCCAGTTCTTAGTGACTTTGCAGTGTGAGGCCACAAGGAGCCTTTCAGAGCAGTTTTCTTGTCTTTGGAAACTCATTCCATTGGTCACAACACTAAATTATTTCAAACTATATATGCAAGTATTCTCTCCCACCCTTTTTTACTCTCATCCCTTTTTATTGGTTCATCAGCTATTGGAAGGGCACTTAGTGTTTTGTTTTTTTTTTTTATAGCATAAATACTATTCTTAACTTACATTCAAACAAATATTACATTCACAATTACCATTATGAAAGTTAAAATCCAGGATAGAAGTAACATGTAACTTAAGTGATGTGCATGTTGAGTCACATGGAAAAATGAACATTTTTAGCCATGGGCTAACTCAAAGCTTCATGGAAGAGATCTTATTTGAGCTGTTACAGGCAATATCTACACCAATATTAATCAAAGCCCAAAGTAAATATAAGCTATATAATTTTAAGTCTAATAACCAATTAAATAGGAGAAATAGGAGGTAATTTTATTTAACATCATATTCATAATTAGTAATTTAGCTACATGTAAAAGGTACAGAGCTGAGCACTGAACTATAAATGTAGGTGGGAGTAGACCACATCAGACTTTGAAATCCAAAGTTAGGGAGGAGTTTGTACTTTATCAGTCAGTTGCTTCAAAACAGGTACTTAAATCCAGGAAGTAACATGATTTTCTAATTGTAGAAAAATCACTAGTGGCAGTATATACAATGAATGGGCTGGAGACCCAGAGACGTATAGGGAGTAACTACTTTAGGTAAGAGGAAACAACAACAATGGAATAAAAGGAAAGGGGAGAATGCTAGAACAAATGCAGAATAAATCTATTATTAAATGAATGGGTCAGACAGGTAAGAAATCAGAGGATGTTGAAACTTCAGGCAAGTCTTACTAGGCTGTTGGTACCATAAACAGGGAATTCACTGAGTTAGTTTTCTGAGATAGAATTTTTATCAGTGATTTTTCATAACTGCACTGGATTTCAGATTAGATCATCTTTCCATGAAAAAAACCTTTGATGAGTGTCTCCTATTGCTATACCATAATTAAAGATGGAATCCAGGCCTAGGAGGTAACTTGCTTACTTTTCAAGGGTATACTTCAATCTTAAGTTGTGCACGTTTCATCTTTTTATCACCATCAACTTTGTTGTTCAGTCAACAAATACCTTCTAAGTTCCAACTTTCTAACTAGGCAGTGAACTTTGCACTGGCAAGAGATGAAAACTGGAGAATGGAGAGGTTCCTGCTCACAAGCACATTACAGTCCAGAAAGGACACCAGATAAAATGAACGTAAGGTGTTTCTGCAGAGCTTTGAAGAATGAATTCAATAGATAGACTAAGGGAAAGGAATTCCAGGCAGAGGGAAATTATACAAAAATATAAGAACACTTATTGGGAAGTGAGCTTGTGTCTAGATAAGAAATGTAAGTAGGGCCCTCCCTGGTGGCTCAGGGGGTTACAGCGCAGCATTGTCAAGTGAGCGGCAGCAGCCACTTCAGTGTGAGTTGGATCCCAGGTCCCCAGAGGTGATCCACATGGCGCGGCAGACCTCTCCTGATCTGCCAGCTGCTCTCCTCAGCAGTGTACTTGTCAATCAGCCTGTTCTGCTCCCCACTTTGGTGAATCCTCTCATCACCTCTGGCCTGTATCCCAGTTCAGTATGAAGAAAGAAATCTTAAAAAATATATATATACACACACACATATATATATACACATATATATATGTATGTATATATATACATATATATCAGTAGAGGTGAGACTAGACAGGTCAACTGGGACCAGATTGTAAAGGGTTTTATGTAATCTTTAGGCCAGTGGTCTTTAAATATTTTCTCCAGAGCTACAGACCCTTTTTTCCAAACAGAATTTTAAATGAAATGCCAACATATAAAACAGCACTTGAACCTGGCCTCCTCCCTGGGATTTCATGGAAAAGTTTAAAGACACACCAAAGCATGTATGGGTGTGAAAGCAATAAAGCAGTTAAGAGTATAAGCTGTCAAGCCCTGGCTTTGCCACTTCCAACTAGGAAACTCTGGACGAATGACTTAGCCTTTGGCTCAGTTCCCTCACATATAAAATGGGATTAGTAATATCATTACCATAAGGCTGTTGCAAGGAATGAACTAGTTACTATTTGTAGAGCAGTGCCTGGCCTATAGGCGTATACTCTTTTAAGTGGCGGTGTTGAAATAGCCTGGAAACTTAAAACTATGAGAAAAATGAGACATGGATGGTAAAATCAGTAGAAATTGGTACTGGCTGCAGAGGTGGGGTTAAGAATTGGCTAAGAATGTCAGTTTTTAGCTTGACGTTGGTAGACTAATGCTGAAACATGGGATATGCTTACTTCCCCCCCCCCCATAGAACTGGGGTATAGGCCAGAGGTGTGGGGAGGGGGTGAAAAGTATTCACCAAAGACAGAATGGGGAGCAGAAGATAGACAGACCAAACTACATTGCTGAGGGGAGCAGAAAAGACCGGACATCTGCAGTGCCACATGTGGGTCAGCTCCCTGGCCGGAATTGAACTTGGGCCCTGGCAGTGTGAGCAGAGACTTAACTCCTAGGCCACCAGGAGGCTCCTGCTCTTTGTGCTTATCAGTAGGCATTATTTGTACGATCTTGGACATACTAAGAACCAGGAACCTCCTGATTTGAGTCAAACAGGAATTATGAAAATATACTGTAGCAGATGCTATCTAGGTGGTATGTAATATAAATGGCAGGAACAAAGGCAAAGATATGGGTCAAACTAGAGCAGTTTTTAGAAAGTTAATCTAGTGGTACTACACAGGATGAAGACTGGATGCCAGTGACTAACAGTTTTTCTCTTCTGATACTCCTTGATGGCTGATGACGGCTGGGGCAGACTGCCTTCCCAAGCACGTACTTCTTGTGCTTCACCAATTTAACAGGCTTGCTAGTGAGGCTTGGGGAACTGGGACACACAAGTCTGATGAGGTTTCCCTGCAGATGACACTCTTAGGTAAGGCTCACCTACCTCTCTGTGTGGTGCCAAAGCTATGCACTAAAAAAAGGCCCTTTGACAATGTTTATGCAAGTTGAGATTCAGCCAGAGAATCAAACTGTAGACTGATGTGCCACAGGTATATCAAGGATGACTCAGAGAACAAATTATTTAGAGCCTTCTAATAATAGCATGTACCCAAACTGGATTCCTATGTTGTTATTCTTCAAAATCCAAGGTGAAGTCACTGCCCCTTTAAAATAGGCCTTCCAATTTCAACCCTCCCTTTCCAACTCCTATTTCCCAAGGACCCAAGCCAGAGACTTGACTGCTGACATCTTCCTTACCTCAACTCCTTGGGTACAGACAACTTATATATGACATTATGGTAAATACTAAGTGGAGACTCTCTGACTTCAAAAAGATTAAAATACAAAACTGCACTATTGTTTTTTTCAATCTTCTATGAATGTCTATAAACTGCTCTCCTAGAATTCTATTAATATTTAATATTGCTTCCACAAAGATTTGGTTTCTTGCAACTTAAATGAAGTTGAAGAGGTAAGACATTATAAAAACTATCTTAACAGAAACAAACTGCACAATGAGCAAGAACTAGGGCCCTCCCTGGTGGCACAACAGGTAAAAATGCAGAACTATGACGCTGTCCAAAGCCACTGCAGCAGGAATTCCATCCCCGGCCAGGGAGCTGACCACACAGAACAGAAGACCACTCCAGTCTCGTCCACTGCTCCTTACAGCAGTGTATTTCAGTACATTTGCCTGGTCTGCTCCCTGCTGTCTCTGTTGAATCCTCTCACCCCCTGCACTGTGGCCTGAACCCAAGTTCTTGTACTCATATTTAAATCTTTGGAGAAAAAAAAAAGCTTTAGCTAGATGAATAGCCTCCCTAATCCTTCTTAAAACTGAAACTAAGAAGTCCCAAGTCCCTGTCCATCTTTTCCAGCATTCTACTAAGCTTATCTGTTAAGCAGTTAACAGATAAGCCTCCTTCAAAAGCAATGTCACTTGGATAAAACCACCTCTTAGACATTAAAAAAAAAAACACAACATTTACTTATGTATGTATATAGTACTGAGTACAAGCCAGAGGTGCAGGGGTGGTGAGAAGATTCACCAGAGACAGAGAGCAGAACAGACAGATTGACCACAAGTACATTGCTGAGGGGAGCAGCAGGCGAGACAGGAGTGGTCTGTTGCACCATGTGGATCACCTCTAGAGTGGGGATCAAACTTGTACCAAAGGGGCCATGGCCAACTTTAGCCCACTGTGCCCCCAGGGAAGGCTAGACTCTTAATTTCAATACTGCTATGAAGATTTAAAATGTGGCCCTCCCTGGTGGCACAACTGGTTAAAGCATAGTACTACAAGCAAGGCGCTTCAGTGCCAAGTTTGATCCCTGGCCTCAGAGGTGACCCACATGGTGCAGCAGACCTCTTCTGACTCACCGCTGCTCCCCTTAGCAGTGTACTTCATTGATCCGTGTGTTCTGCTCTCCTTCTGTCTCTCGTGAATCCTCACTTCCCCTGCACCTCTCTCTCGCCTTTACCCCAGTTCTATATGAATAAAAAACAAATATTAAAAAAAAAAAAAGATTTAAAATGTGCAAGAAAATGCTTTATAAACAATGGACAATGTCAAACTTTCACTCTTATTAATTAAAATTGTTCTTGACCCCTCTCATGTAGGAACAGCTGGAAGAAATGGAAGAACGACAGAGGCAGTTAAAAAGTGGGGTGCAACTCCAACAACAGAAGAACAAAGAGATGGAGCAGCTAAGGATCAGCCTTGCTGAAGAACTTGCAACTTATAAGTCAGTTTTTGTTGTTACCCAAATCTCATCTAACACCAGCAAAGGGGGTGGTCGGGAGGGTAGATAGCACCCATTTAACAATGACAAAAATGACTTTGGCAAACCATTATGCTCACCCATGGACAGATGGAAAATGGCTCTCTTTTCTTAAAGGGCTAAGCTACCCAAGAGCCAGGAACAGGATAATGATCCCACTCCTCAGGCAGGTGGAATCGAGACACAATCTCAAGGTGATCTTTGTGGATAACAAATATTGCAACTTATAATTGCTTTAATATTGCTTTCCTAACAATACTAATACCTTAAAAAATATTAAGTGTGTATCTAATGACAAGTCATTTAGGAATAACACATCTCTAAACATTCAGGATTCATTTGGAAAGCTTCAATTTCTGGAACTCAAGTTATATCCCAGTTACCACCAGGAATTCTGTAGTAGGATGAAACATCTCGGCCCTGTGCATTCCTTTCCTTACTTTCCTCCACTCTGCTGTACCGTTTTCCTGGAATAGCAGAAAAGGCAGTTATGCTACCTCAGACCACGGCAAAGGAGGCCAAAGCTAAATTAATATATAACAGCAACTGAAAAATTACTGGAGGGTGTTGTTTATAGGCCAAAGAACAGGATTATAATTTATGTGAACGAGTAATACATTTGGCCCATAAATTTTATATACCAATATGTCCTCATATTCTTTAAGTATTATATTCTCTTAGATGAGGAAATTAATAAAGGTCTGTGTCAAGTTAAATACGAGACAGACACCTATAAATTCTTATTTCCTAGTCAGTCTTACATCTTGGGTATAAATTCACAAATAACTAACTGAAGCTTTTCTTCATTTGCTAGGACTTTCTATTACTGTTTTTCCAGGCTTAACTGATTTTATACTTAACTATTTGGGAGAGTCATTCAGGATTATATGCAAATCAAACTCTTAGTATTAGTATTTCTTCCCCAACATAGCCTACACTAACAAACTTGAAATTTATGCTTTGTTATTTAAAGTTACAGAAGGTATGAACTTCCTCTTTTTTTCAACCTTGCAGGGGCTGTTTAGAAACATATGGCCGAATATGTAACCCAGAAACAACAAAACCTTCTTAACAAAGGATCATTAAGTACAACATACTTTTTTTTCCCAAATAGAGAAGGGAGTGCCAGGGAATTGGCAAGCAGTTCCTTGGGAAAGTTTCAAGTATTGGCTGAACTGTTTTAAAAAGATTCTAGGCCTGGCTGGAGGCAGAACACCGCCAACCTGCTCTTAGTTGGATACTATTTCATAGACTGCAGTACTGATCTCAATGCGGAGAAGAGGAAGGAGTGTCCCATGCGGCGGCAGCAGCAGCCCTCACACTGATTAAAGGATCCTTGCAGTGTTGTGAAGATCTGTCTTGCCTGATACTGACACAAACCAGAAACATTTTTGGCGTCCAGGAGGGATCAAAAAGGCAACCAATTTTTATCACAAAAGTTTACAATTTGAGTATTCTCAAGCCATGAGTGTTAACACTTTCAATGAATCCTTTTATAGCATTTACCTTTAAGTCTAAGTTGACTCATAGCTTACTCATAATTCACAATAACTTTCATTAATTCTCTAAAAGAGTTACTGACTTGGTGAAAAGGAACTAAACCAGATTTGAACCTAAAAGCTAAATAAGGATATTCAGATTTCTCTAAAGATTTTACACCATGAAAATGACTTTGGGTCAGCAGGATCTACTCAGTTAAATTGAATGCAAAAGAATCAGGCATTTTACCTGGTTATGGCACTTGTTAGAATCTATTATTTCTAACTTCTACGTACAGCATCCAGTGAAAAACATACTGGGGAGACTCAACCTTTGTGAGAAAAGGTTCAAACTTCTGAAAATTTAAATTTGCCTTAAATTCTCTTTGCCACACTGCCTTTGATGTTCTAGAAAGTCCATGTAGTTCTCTAGAGATACTGACTTCAAAAAGATGGTTATCAAAGACTAATCCATGTACCTCTGATTCAGTGTTTTTATGTTTTTCACTTCCTGGGAAGGAGTAAAATCTCTTTTCTATTGTTCTGAGTCTATTACATTTAATTCTGCTCTTCAGTGTCAAAGATCACAGAAAACAATTGTGACCTGAACAATTCTTCTAGAAGCCAGGAATTGGTGTTCGATAGATATTGTATACTAAATAAAACCCACCAGCATGGGGTTATATAGAAAAGCAATTTATTCCATTGTAAGCACTTACACAGTTAGTCATGGAGAGTAACAGGCCTGTTGGCAAAACAGGTCACCCAAACAGAGATGGTATCAAACTAGTGGTAAAGGACTAACTCCTATTTAAAAAAAAAAAAAAAAGCAACTCTTATCCAGGATTAATTTAATTTTAAAAACAAATACAAGCTATCAATTCACTCTTCTCAACTTAACTGGACAGTCTACCTGTGGTATAACTGTCAGGTAAAACATACATCTTTACAACTTGGTGGTCCCAAGTTTTTTTAAAAAAAAAAAAAAAACCATTTCACAGAAAGGAAAGAAATAATATGCAAACAGCTCAAGAAATACACTAACAAGCAAAAATATATGGGAAAAGAGGAACACACAGCTTTGACTTAACTGAAGAAATTGAGAAAATGGTCTACATAGAAAAATGTGCATCCTGCAAAGTCAGGTATGAAGACTTTAGAGTAGGAATTTATGACTTGAATCTCCCCTATTTCCTGAATAAAAAGGCCATCTTGCAATCTTTATATATCATGGCTCAGACACCTACCTCACTTGGTTCTATTCCTTACTCACTCTAACCTTTATTTAAATGAGTCTGAAAAACCTGGGGCAGTAGAAGAAGAAAAATAACCACACACAACATTCCCCTTTCTGTGGCTACTTTAGACCTTTGTTACTACAAAATTCCTGAAGAAAATTTAAATATAAGTCTGTGGCTTTGCTGAATAAAGTCCTCCAGTTAATATTTAGAAAATACCCTCTTGTTGTTTGAGCTAACAACATTGTTGAAGGTACGTAATGTAGAGGGTTAGCTGAACAAGTCTGTGTCTCAAAACCAGTGTTAAATCAATCTCAGGGTTGAGAGGAAAAAGGGGGAGTCTAAAATCACAAGAAGTACAGACAAATCTAGGACCCTTGTCCTTCTGGATCCACACTTCCTTCAGGGTCTTCATCGTTATAAATGTTCTCTGCCTGCCCAAAAACAAGAAAAAAAGAGAAAAGTATCTTTAGTATTTCAAAATACATTAAACCAGGGAGACAGATTATGAAGTATGGTCTGTACAATCAACCATGAGTTCTTCAGGCATTTTATTTATAATTGTCAAAAACCTTAAAAGCAACACAAATATTTACATTGATAAATAAAAAAAAAATACACACACCAGTATTAATTTGGTAATAAAGTCAGTAACACTGTAAGGGTTCATTTAGAGTAAATGTCTAGAATAGGCAAATCCACAGACAAAAGTTGAGTGGTGCTGCCTAGTGTTGGGGTGGAATGGAGGAAAATGGTAACGACCAATAAATAGGGGGTCTCATTTATGGGTAAATGTGATGGTTGCACAAATTTGCAAAACTACTAAACCATTGAATTGTACATTAAACAAAGAGAACTTCCCCATTAACAAGAAACATGTACAAATCTCTCTCTCTTTCTCTCTCTCTATATATTTTAAAAGATTATTTATGCATACAGAACTGGGGTACAAGCCAGAGGTGCAGGGGCGGTGAGAGGCTTCACCAGAGACAAAGTGGGGAGCAGAACAGGCCCGACTGACGAAGTGCACTGCTGAGGAGAGCAGCAGGCGGGTCAAGAGAGGTCTGCCACTGGGATCACCTCAGGGGAAGGCAGGGATGGAACTCATGCTGAAGTGGCTTTAGCTTCTTAGTGCTGTGCTTTCACCCGCTGTGCCACCAGGGAGGACCCGCAATTTATGTTTTTAAAAGAAAAATTGCTTTCACGTAAAATAAACTCTACTACTTGATGAAATACCTATATTCAAAGGCACAATCTTATATACAAAAACCATTTTTATACTGTTCTCAGCATCTGTCACATCCGTGCATAGGTCACTAGCCTAGATGCCACAGCAGATGGGGTAGTCTTGTCTTCAAAGTTCTTATAATTTGACTGTTGTGCTATGAAATACATACAATTCTGTGGTAGCTTTTCCCCTGATATCAATTCTCTAATACTACTTTAACAGGGTCCTCAATAATTCAGTTCAATCCTGACACTAACTACCCAGAGGTAGCATCAGACTTTGGCAGGCTGTGACTAAGGGCTCAATCCCAGAAAACTTTCCTCACTTCAGCATGTTTGAAGCCTTTTATGTCCAGGCTACATGCATTTCTGTCCTACTTTACTAAAAAACTCCTAAATTGGGTCTGGTAATTCACTGAAATGACTCACAGAACTCAGAAAAGTACTTTACTATTAACGGTTCACTATAAATGTTATAAATCAAGAACAGCTAACAGAAAATATGCAGAGAAGGTGGAAAAGGGAACACAGTTTGCATGTCCTCCCAGGGTGTGCCATGGTCCTAGCAAAGATAAACTCACCATAAACTCATCAACAAATTAAAAAAAAAAAAATTTTCATATAGAGTTTCGCAGTCCCTACCCCACTTATGAATGGAATGAGACTGAAAGTTCTCTCTCTAATCAAGTTTGCACTTCCTACAGACCAGTCCCAATCTGATACTAAATAGAGTTTCCTTTTAAGTAGCAAAGGAGACTCCTACAGGCCTCCCTGGTGGCACCAGAAATTAAGTCACAGGACTAGGAAGCTACTAGTAGGCACCAGTTCGATCTCAGGCCAGGGAGGTGACCCACATGGCATAGAAGACTTCTCCTGCCTCACTTGCTGCTCTCCTCAGCAGTGGATCCTCCTGTTCTGCTCCACACTGTGCATCCTGTCTCACCCTATCACATCTCTTGGCCTACACCCCAGCTCTTGTATGCATAAATAAATCTTAAAAAAAAAAAAAAAGACTACTACTACTCAGAAAATCCCAAGGTTTTAGAAACTCTCTGCAATGATCCAATGTCTACTTCCTATACCACAATTTTAGAAAAAAAATGAGTCTAACAGCTTGGCTGGATGTGAAGCCCTTGAAGGTAGTATAGTCTTGACTCCTACAACATTCCCACAAAACTACTAAAATACCATTAGCTGACTGATTACTGACTATGTAGGGGAGCCCATTTCCCTTCTGGTTGGGATTCATAACTTTCTGTAAATATTTTAAAAATATTTACTTACTCATGCATGTAAGAACTGCAGTGAAGGCCAGAGCTGCAGGAGTGAGAGGATTCACCAGAGACAGAGTGGGGAACAAAATAGGTGCATCTCTTAAAACACACTGATGAGGGAAGCAGGAGATGGGACAGGAGAGGTCTGCTGCACCATGTGGGTCACCTGGACTGGGGATTGAACTCAAGCTACCGTGGCTGCTTATAACTTCACACTGCTGAGACTTCAACCTGTTGCGCCACCAGGGAGGGCCCACTCTTCCTAGTTTTAGATATACACTGAGACCCCAAATTCCTTTGGAATTAATTTACTGGACTTTATCATTCAAAAGTTAAGCATTTTTGGGACTCCCAGGTGGCCTAGGGGTTAAATCTAAGTGCTACCACTGTGAAAGCCCACTGCTAAGGCCTGAATTCAATCCTTGGCCAGGGAACTAACCTGCATATGGTGCAGTAGACCTCTCCTAGTTTGCCCACTGCTCCTCTCAGCAGTGTATTTCAGTAAATCTACCTGTTTTGCACCCCACTGTCTTTGGTAAATCTTCTCACCACTCCCACCTACCCCCTGTACCTCTGGCCTATAATCCAATTCTTCTATGCATAAATAAATCTTACACACACACACACACACACACACACACACACACACACTATCAAATAGAAACCCACTAAGGTGTGACAGATAAATAGGGAAGTTGGATATTTTAAGGTCAGGGAGAAACATTGCAGACACAGTGTAAAAAGTGATCTAGACTCAGATGAATAGATAATTAAGAACTCAAATTCTCTGTCAGCAGACTGGAGAAACATTGGAGTCGTAGAAAATAATTAAGTCAGAAGGAGGAAAGGGGAGAGAAGAGATGAAAAATATGATTTTGCTGAATTTGAGGTATCAGAGGGACAACTAGAAAGGTTAAAAACAGGCAGCTGAAATGCTAGAGTACAGATATGCAGGAGGAAGCTAAACAGATGCCAGTTAAGTGTCACTATGTCCATATATTTAACCTCCGAAAGGACTATACAACTTACCATTTGCCACACTTGCATGATATTATCTTCTGATACAGAACAAATCACCCAAGGTTCATTGGGATTCCAGGAGAAATCAGATATCTTGGCAGTGTGACCCCCATGAATAAACTGAAAGAGGAAGGAAAGCAAAGACATGAAAAGCAGACAGAGGGTAATACAGCCCATTTAAATGCCACTGAGTGTCTGTAACATACCAGTAACTCCGGTGGCCCATCTTCTGCATCTTCTGGGGATTGCTCCTCTCCAATTTTACTAGTACAACAAGATTTTAAAAGTCAAAACAGATTTACCCTGAACAATTAACATCAGTAATTGTCAACAGAGAAAACTTCCCCAAAGAGTAATTAATAAGATTTACCTTAAGTCCCAGACATTCAGTCTGCGATCAGTACCACTAGAAGCCAAAATAGTCTCATTATGAGGCGACCACTGAACCTACACATCAGAATGAAGAAAACAGAAAAGCTGTCAATTAAAAAAATTGAGAGGAAAATACTAAAATACTGATATATACCCAACTTAATATATATTCCTAAGCCTAAGACAATTAAGCTGTTGTTCTACTCCACCTTGTATTTTTCAAGATCTCACCTTATCTATTCCTATGGTCTAGTTCTGGTTTCTAGTAAAACATAATCCAATTCTGACTTAAGAAGTACAAATCACGCAGAGTAATTATTTTCCCAAGCACTTACTATGAGTTCAGTATCACAAATAAGTAACCAAGAACTCTTTACAATGATTAAAGTTAGCTATTATACACGCAACATCACATACTGTTACAAAGAAAGTTCTCCACCAGGCAAAGAAAAGGATTAACTAGCGATACTTAGGGAAGAATATGGATACCCTTCAGGCAAGAATACCATTGTAATTAAGCAAGGGCAAAGAGAGAGGGTGAAAACCAAAATAAATACTGAGCAGGCAGAACTGAAAAAAAAAAAAAAGATTAAAAAGATTATGTGTGCTAAAATAGGGCTCATCCAGAGCCCAGTTCAGATGTCACATTCATGCCATCACAATTAATTTTGAGTATCTTTGATTTCTTACACATTGAC